CGGCGTCTGGAGACGCCTCCTACAGAAGGTCTTGCTGCGTCTTCTGCTCCATCGGCGCGAGCCAAGTGAAATACAGAATCGCGAAGGCCGTCAGCGCCACGGCGAAACAGACGCCTGCGTGGGTCCATTTCTGGACGACGAGCAGCATCGGCGCCAAGAAGATCGCCACTTGGTAGGTCAACGCGACTGGCAGCGCTAGAAGGTCGCGCAGGTTTTCGGCGTTGATCGTTTCTTGTTGTGCCCGTGGCAATGACTCACGCTCGCGCCTCCACCATCCGAACGGTCTCGTCCGATTGAAGAAGTCTTGGAGCACGGTGGCGGGTGTCGGCGACGTTAGGCAGGAACCCGTGACCGCCGCGATCAGCGAGACGACACCGATCACTAGCAGCATGCACCACTCTTCGTTGAGCACTTCGTAGACGGGCGGGAGCATTGAAGCGGCGGTTCGCTGCGCGAGCGCAGCTGTTAGGCCCGCGATCATGCCGGCCGCATAGCCAAAGCCGTTGAAGCGGCGCCAGTAGAGCGGCAGCATTTGGGGAAAGATCATCCCGCCGCCGAGCCCCATGATGATCCACGACCAGATGTAGTTGATGTTCGTTGCCGAGTAAGCAAAGGTGAGTCCCGCGGTGACGATGGCGAGGATGAACGCCCACGTGACGGTGATCTGCTCGCGCACCGGCGCCGCGGGACGCACGTGCTTCAGATAAAAATCGTTCGTGAAGAGTCCAGCCGCTTGATTGATCCAGGCGCCGAAGCCCGCCATTGCCGCCGCCATCAGCGAAACGATGACGAGGCTACGCAACCCCGGCGGGATCGCGTAGAGCAACACGGCGGGGACGACCCGTTCGGGGTTCACCGTCCCTTGGCGCGTGGTGAGTTGCAGGCGAGTTGGCCAGTCGTCGCCCAATGCCTGCCGGAGATCGTTGGTGAGTTCGGTAGGCGCCGTCGCACGAGAAGCGGCGATGCGAGCCGTGATCTGGTCCCAATCCCCATCGGGATAGGCGGCGTTGACGGCTGCGACCGCTTCACGCACCGCTGCGGGATCGGGGAGCGCGGCGCCCACCGCGACGATCCCGAGCACCGCGATCGCCATCATCGTCGGCCAGCGCACGGCGATCAGCGTGATCCACAGCAGGCTCAGCTTTGCACAATCGACGTCGCTCTTCGCGGCGAAGTACTTGGGGTCGTCGCCGGCCCCCATGCCGAACAGCACGTTGCGTAGCAAGTACAAGCCGGCGAGCAGCAGCAGCGGCTCATACGCTTCGTAGCCCGCCGGCATGGCGACGCGCACCGCGGGGAGAGTCGCGCCCCAATCGGGATTGCCCGTCACCTGTGCCGCCACGTCTTGCAGGGCGGCGAAGTCGGGCGTCTGACTCACACACAAGTGGATGATCGCCGCAGCGGCTACGAGCACGATCAAGAACTGCAGCGCGTGGATGATCACCACGCCGTAGAAGCCTGAGAACATCGAGTAGATGGTCGCCGTGCCGATGAGCAGCATCGCGCATTGAGCCGGCGTTAGCGGCAGGAACATTGAAAGGAACAGTCCGGCGCTCTTCGCTAGGTAAGCGATCAGCCCCGTCGTGATGGCGATTCCGGCGACGACGCGCGCCAGCTGTGCGGCCCGCCCTGCCCTGTTGTCGCCGAAGCGAAAGAGCATCCACTCGGCGCTGGTGATACAGCCCGACCGCCGCCGCCATTTGCCGGTCCACAGCATCGTTACCNNCATCACCCCCGAGACGCCAAGCATCCACCATGGCATCGAGCGGTCGCCCACCAAGTAGTGCCGCAAGCCGGCGCTGGCGCGTCCTTGGAGGTACACGCCGAGGATCAAGAGCACGCCCAGGTAGAGCGCGATAACGACGCCGTCTAGCGCGTTGAGGCAGGCGCCCGCCATCCAGATTTGCTCGTACGGTTCCCTAACGATGAGGGAAGGCGTCGCAGCACAGCCGCACGATCCCCGACACGGATCCCCAGACGCGGAACCCAGACGCGAATGATAGTTCGCTGACGCGGCCCGGTCGATCGGCTTTAGGGTCGGTACCGACGGCTTGAAACGCGCGCAATGTGGTTAGGTTTTGCAACTGCTTTTAGCCACTTTTTGCCTGAAAGTGCAGCGAAGGCCGGCGTCTCCTTGCGAGCCTCCAGACGCTCGTTTACCGCGATTTCTGGGTTGGTTGAGGGAGTTGTCGAGTGGGGCCTCAAAACGCGTTCTAGGGCCATCCTCGTGCGTTCTAGAGGGGTCTGAGGGGGGTCGTCTTTCCGACGCGGGCAGAGCCGCCCCCGGCGGGTCGGAATTGAGGAAACCAGCCCAGTTTTTTTACGGCGTGATGCGGAAGCCGACGGCGTGTCGGAGGCCCGCAGCGACAGGGTAGATGATCGTCATCGCGTCTTCGTCTCTCGACCATTCAACCTCGGCGTCGGCGCCGAGCAACTCGACGCGCGCGGGTTCTTTCTCGAGCAGGGCCGCCGCCTTGCCGAGCGATGCGACGCGGATCTCCGCGCCGGGCTCGGGTGCGGTCAGTACCCAGACGTAGAGCGCGCCGTCCTTGCCGACCGTGAAACGGAGGTCTTCAGTCGTGAACTCGAAGTCGGCTTGCTTCTTGCCGAGCGCGCCGCGCGGCAGCGTGCGGTCGCCTTCGCGGAAGACCTTCCACGCCTTCGATCCATAGATGCCCTCGCCGTTGACGCGCATCCACTCGCCGATCGAGGCGAGCATCTCCGGCGCGCCGGGATCGAGTCCCCCTTCGGGCGTCAGCGGTACGGAGACGGCGAAGTTGCCGTCGCGCGAGGCGAACTCTAATAGCGCGCGAACGACCGACCCGGCGTCGTAGTAGAAGCCGGGTTCGTAGAACCAACCGCCGATCGCCAGCTCACCCATCCAGGCGCGGTCGGCGCGCATCTCGGCGGGGACGCGGCTTTCTGAGGTCGAGGCGAGGCCGGTGCGGGGTTCGCTGAACTTGATGATTGCCAGCGTGTCGATTTTTCCACGTCGCTCGAGCGTGCGGTTGAAGTAGTCGGCGACCACGCGCTGCGCCGCGTCGCAGCGATAGCCCGAGCCGCTCTTCTTGCCGCTGAACGGTTGCGACGAGTTGCCGTCGGTGTAAATGAAGTCGGGGTCGTGCTGCTCGACCGCGTCCTGGATGCGTTGGGCCCACTGCGTGGCGTACTGCTCCGCATAAGGGAGGTGCTTGTCGAAGATGCCTTCGCGGCCGTGGGCGATGAGGTGGACGGGTTCGTACTCGGGGTAGCCTTCGAGCGGCCTGCCGTAGAGTTGCCGCGGATCGAGGCCGTCCCACCACTGGCCTTTGCCATCGGCGGCGGTGAGCAGGCCGTCGTAGGGGACGCCCTTTTTGTCGCCCTTGCTGTCGGCGCCGAACGCGGGCTGCCACCACCACCAAGTGTACTCGTGGTGGAACGAGACGCCGTAGCGGATGCCGACCTTGCGCGCCGCCTTTGCCCACGCGCCGAGGAGGTCTTGCTTGGGCCCGACGTTCACCGAGTTCCACGGCTGATGCTTCGAGTCCCAGAGATCAAAGTTGTCGTGGTGCACGCCCATGATGACGGCGTAGCGGAAGCCGGCGTCATGGAACATCTGCATGTAACGCTGCGCGTCGAACTCGGGCGTGCGCCACTGATTGAGCACATCCTTGTAGCCGAACTCCGAGGGGTGCCCGAAGTTCTTGCGATGGTTCGCCGCGGCGGGGTGGTCCTCCAGGTACATGTGCTTGGCGTACCAGTCGTTCGAGCGACCGGCGGCCTGCGGGCCCCAGTGGATCCAGACGCCGAACTTCGCCTCGCGGAACCACTCGGGCGTGCCGGGATGGTTGGCGGAGATCGACTCCCAGTTGGGATCGAACGGGCCATCGGCGATCGGGAAGTCGAGCCTGGCGACCGAATCGACGCCGGGTTGCGCGGCCGCGTCTAACGAGAAAGCCGCAAACGCTAGTAGCAGCGGTAGCCAAGTTCGGACGGGGCGATCTAGATTCATGCGGGTTGGTCTGGTTCTGCGGATCGTCATTACTTTCGCGCGACGGTCGGTCAGGGACGAGGAGCGACGGGGGTTCAGGCTTCGCTACCGCTTCGCAGAGGGTGCCAAGCCGTGTTGGCATAGTGTCGCACGGGGCTCCGGGAAGCAGGGGCGTTTCGCAAAACAGGGCCCCTTCTGTGGCTGCGGTTATTCGACAGCCAATTGCAAACGACGCGACTTGCAACAAGCCCCTCCACCAGTAACAAATGGTACCTGCGAAGGGCAAATGCCCGGCTCCTTATCAGTCTCTCAATCTCATTGCTCCGTTTCTTTGCCTCGATACCGACGTCGCAACGGCGTTCCGAGCTGCTCGATGCGAGTGGGCGTGACCGCCAACCGACCTGAACTCAATAACGCGGCTCGCTCCCGAGCACGCTGACTCGTTGCCATCACCTAGTCAAGAACCGTCGGCCTCGTTGAGACGAGACCAACTCCTCCTGAGTTCTGCCGCTAGCCGTTTGCGGCGTTGAACTGTCCGGACAACTGTCCGCCTCGTTACCCGATCCGAACGCGCCGCGGCAGCCGTTGCCCTGCGGTGGTCGCTGCTCCGTCACGTTGAACGACCAAGAGACACCATGAAGTGCAGCACGCTAGCAATCCTTGCGTCGGCCTTTCTGTTAGGCGGCGTCTTGATCTCCGATGTCGAGGCGCAGGTCTACCTGACCGCGACCGACGACGCCAACACGTCGAACGACACCAGCCGTGGTCCCTCGACGACCAACGACCGCGGTGACTTCCTTGAGATCCGGAACTTCGCCAACGACGCTTCCGGTTCCACCACCCGTAAGAAGGTCGGCGTTTTCAAGTACGACATCTCGTCGATCGATACGCGGCTCTTTCCGTTCGCCACATTGACAGGAACCTTCGCCAACGGCCGTGACGGCAACGGAACGTTCAACGTCTACGGCCTGAACGACGGCGAACAGAACCTCGACAACGTCCCCGACGGCTCGGTCGGAGAAGCCAACTGGTCGGAGAGTTCGCTGCGGTACGAACACGGCCTTGGTTTCGACCCCACGGTAGCGACGACCGCCGCTGGCGATCTCGGCATCGACCTGACGGAGGTGATGCTGCTCGGCACGATTACTCTGATCGACGGCGAACCGCTGCAATCGAACACAACCGACCTCAATCTTGACGCGTTCTTGGATGCGGACACCAACGGCGTCGTCAGTTTCTTTCTCGCCGATGAACGGGTCAACGAAGAGACCGGTTTGCCGATCGGGACCGAGTGGCGTCTGACGGCCCGTGAGGCGTCGGCGGAGAACAGCCTGCGACTGGCCTTCACCCCGATCCCCGGCGACACCGACCTGAGCGGCGTCGTCGATCTGGCGGACCTCGACCCGATCCGGACGAACTACAGCCTCGGCGGCCTTGCGTATACCGACGGTGACCTCAACGGAGACGGCGACGTCACGTTCGCCGACTTCCGTCTCTGGAAGACGGGTTTCCTCGATGCCGGCGGCTCGCTCGAGGGCGCCAATCTTGGCTTCTTGTCCGTCCCCGAGCCGACCTCCGCTGCCCTGCTGATGATCGCCGCCGCCGCGTTTGCCGGTAGCCGCCAGCGTCGCGTTTGATACGAGCCACTTCGCCTAACTTCAACTAATCGGCGGACCGTTCGCGCTGTCGGACACCGCTTGCGACACCGCCCTGAGGAACTTCTGGATGCACACGTCGCCTACACGCCGTCAGGTTACCACTCCGAAGCTGCTGGCCGCGGCCGCTGGATTGCTGGCCCTCCCTCTGCTGTGCCTGTCCGCCAACGCGGCGGTGGTCGCCACCGCCGACCCGGCCGACGGGTTCGGTGAGAGCCCGGCGATTTTCACCGTCGATCCGTATGACACGGAGCAATACTCGGGGAACGCGCAACGCGGTGTCGCCGGAGACCGCAGGTTGCGGCAGACCTTCCAAAACCCCGCGACGTTCAACGTCGGCGACATCACGCTGGCCTTCAACGGCGAGTCCGGTGGCGTCACCGGGATGACGGTCCGCATCTATGAGGTCGACGACGTGCTCGCCGGGGGCGATGACCAGTTCTCGCCGGCGAACCTGTTCCGCGAACTAACCTACGACGGCGTTGTGCCCGATTCGGCGACGCATCTGCGGCTATCGCTGACCGGCGCCACGGTCTTCTCGCT